ACGTGTACTTAACTCCAGTGGTGACGTGTACTTAGCTCTGTGAAGACCTGGTTGTGTGATCTCTGTGAATCTGAACCAGGATACCTCTCTTGAGCAACTTTACCAGCAGCTGAAAGAAGAGCTTAGGGTTGCTAAGCTGGAGATACGGTGATTAACGGAGGAGAACAAGAGGATTCGTAGTAATCCTCATGTTGTGAGTCCCCAGGTTAAGAGGGGAACTTGGTCATTGGCCAGGCAACATGGAACCAAGCTGAGGATCAAGAAGACTGTTGGAGAGGCAGAAACAACGAGGAACCAGAAGACTACTGTGGAAACTTCCAACCCATTTTCGTTGCTACCAGATGAATGTGGGTGTTCTAATGGGAATGTCACAATGAGCACCAAGGAAGCATTGGCAGATGTGAGTGAGGCATCCCTAGAAACGCCAACAAAGACCATCGAGAATATTTTGACGAATTCCACAAGTGAAGGTGTAGTGCTACCTGACGACTGTGAGTCGACTACTGGGAACATCAAGACGCCAAGGAAGGTAAAAACATTGTTGTTGTTGGGGATAGCCAGATTAGGTACATGGATAGGGCATTCTGCTTGAAGGATTCGAGTTTGTGTGTTTTTTCCTGGGGTTGGGATGAAGGATATTGTTAGCCGTCTGGATGGCATCACGAGAGGTAATGGGAGCAATCCTATTGTCTGTCTCAGTGCTGGAGGCAACGATGTTGGCAGACGTAGGAGTGAGGACCTGATTAGCAGGTACAGTGGTCCCTCATTTATCGCCGTTAATCCGTTCTTGGAAGTGTGACGATTATCGAAAAAGACGATTTTCGAATCAGTTTTCCCCGTAAGAAATAATGTAAATACAATTAATCCGTTCCTGACACCCAGAAGTATTAACCCTTTCAGGGTCGACAGGCCCTCTCCCAGACTTGTTCTCAGGGTTGCCAAAATTTAAAAAAAAAATTATTTATGATTTTTTTTTTTTTTTTTTTTTTTTTTAAATCTTGTAGGCTAAACATAAATTTTTTACCATCAATACTTACCGAGATATGGAGGCGTGAAGTCGACAGAAAATGACCGGCATATGGTAATGTCGCCGACTGCCGGTCACCCAGTTTTAGTTTATTTAGTTTTTGGTATTATTTTCTTTCATTTTTTTACAAGTAACTTTTATGGCCTGTGAGACCAATATGAGCACTATTTTGTAAGTTTTTTCTCTTTCTTTACTACACAATAACTGCATAAACACTGTTGTCCTTATATTGTTTATAATTGTTGTTTACACACACAAACAGTATGAAATGTTGTTTATTACTATTTTTCTATATTTTATATACACATATACAGTCACAGGGAATGTTTCTGGAAGTTCTGCAGCCTGTGGAACTCTTTGAAACATGGTGTCATGCACAGTGGTATTTTACACTCCTCACACATAAAACGAGTGTCTCTGTGTTGGTGTGGGCATTTTTTTTATGTGCACAGATGTAACACCTCTTCTGAGCCTTTTTCTTGAAAGCATGAGCAGGCAGTTTTACTAGGAAGTGATCACCATGCTACAGACGAGAAGGTAGTTGATAATTTAGTGGGCGGTTTTCTATTGCAGGTGTTGTTCTTTGGTACTTGAATACTATTTGTCTGATGACAGACAAACAGAATTTGCCATATGGCAGTTTGTTTCTGGTCCTCATCTTATACATATTATAAGCATTGAGCATGGAAATGTCCAGAAGATGGAAAAAGAGTTTTATGTACCACTTGTAACTCTTGCGAACACAATCAGCAAACCCAATCTGCATGTCACATTTGTCCAGTGAGTGCATATTGAGGGTGTAATCAATCACAGCTGCAGGATTTAGAATGGGTTCATTGCTGTCTCTATGCTGCCTGCCAGTGTTTGTCATTTCATTAGGGTGAACTGATGACAACAATGTGACATCTTGTTTGTCATGCCACCGAAATGCCATGATGTCATGGGCAGCAAATGCCTGGACCTCACGTCTACGAGTGCCAGCGTCGAACCTGGGCATATGTTTACAATTGCGCACACTGTGCCACACATCTGTGCTGTGATGTTCACTCGCAAAAAATCACTGAGTGAGGGGCTTGTGTACCAGTTATCAGTATATAATATATGCCCCTTACCAAGGTATGGTTCTATCATTGTTCTAACCACATCACCAGAGATGCCCAATAACTTCCTGGTATTTTACAATGTATAACTTCCAGTGTACACAATAATATCCAATACAAGACCACTGTAGCAATCACAAAACACAAACAACTTTATACCAAAGCGTTTCCTCTTGCTTGGTATGTACTGCTTGAAAGAGTCTTCCTTTGAACAGAATCAAAGACTCATCAATTACAAGCTTCCTGAAGAGATAAAAATACATATTGAATTTCTCTTTCAGATACACATATTCCTAATTTTATATAACCTGTCGTTTCTGTCAGGCCTGGTTTTGTCTGAGAAGTGAAACATACGTAATAGTAGCACAAATCGATTCACTCCCATTATATACTGAAACCTGGGGTTGCAATCAGGCGGTCTGTTGACCAGTATGATTTCACACTGTGTTTATACACATGTAGCATAAGCATTATTGTGGCAAAGAAAAGATACATCTCAGCCACAGTTGTATCCTTCCACTTGTGTAGATGTGATTTTGGTGAAAGTATTGTGTTTGCCATGGTGTACTCGTAGTATCTGTTGCTTTCCCTGACAATAATTTCCATCAGGGGCTCGTCAAAGAATAAATCGAAACATTCCAGTTCAGTGGTATTGTTCCCCAGTGTACAACATGACCATATTCCACTTTGGCTTTCATCACACTGGTGGGGATTTGGAACAAAATTGACAGCTTCCTGCCAATCCCAGGTGAGGTCTGCTGGTGGGTACTGGACATTGACAGGTGGTTGTGGTTGTGGAGTTTGTGGTTGTGGAGGCTGATGTGGTGGGTGGGTGGAGGATTGTGGCCTTTGTTGTAGATCAGCTGAGGCAGCGGCATGGGTGGCAGCATGGCCCACTGCTTGTGCCTCATGGCCGGCACCACCACTGCCACCACCATGCACATTTTCCATCCCAATTGCAACACTATCATCTTCATTTTCACTGTCTGTTCCTGTTGTACAGCCACGGGATGTACTCCGAGTTGTACTCCTTCCCCCTTGGAATAGCATATGGCATACTACCAGAGCGCATATATTGTCGTATATACTGACGCTTCACTGGAGAATATTCCACTTCACTATCACTACTGGAACTGTTTTCAAGAGCTTGTAGTTCATATTCACTATCACTATCAACACCAATGCTCACATCTGAGTCCGGGATTTGGGAAAATAGTAGTTTCGTCTTTGATTCTCGTACAACTGAACATGAACAAGACGGCCCAGCAGCAGAGGTGGAAGGCTGACAGTCGTTTGGGTTTTCCTCACTATTACTGCTATTATGGTCATTAGTTTCGATCACAACCTCACCAAACTCTTGAAACTCATCTTCACTGTTACGTCCATCTGTATTAGAACTGTCACTGGGGAACAAAAGTGTCCCAATTTCCCAAGGAGTGAGGAACTTCTTACCGCGAGGCATGGTGGACATTGTTTACAAAGATGGTGTTCCCACAATGCACCACTGGGTCCCAGATTTTTTTTCTACCGCGCACACCAACCACACACACCCATTCTCTCACATCTAGGCCTACCAGCCTTTTCCCGTGAGATTTGAAGGCAGTAGAATTTATGCATACTAGTACGTCAAAAACCCTGGCGCATAAGACGTACTAGTACGTCGGAAACCCTGAAAGGGTTAAAACAAAAAAATTTTTACATGAAATATAGATGTAGTACATAAACAATACAGTGGGACATGATGAATGAAACATTAACAGCATAACACTTATCTTTATTGGCAATTCTTCTTAGTGTCTGGAAGACTGGAGGAGGAGAGAGATTGGATTAGTTACTGTTTGGAAGGGGAATCCCCTTCCATCAGCACCTCAGGTACCCAGTCCTTTTCTGAGGTTACATACTTCTCTGTTTCTTAATGCCACTAGGACCAGCTTGAGAGTCACTGGAGTCCTGTCTCGCAAAAAAAGTGTCCAGAGAGCTCTGTTTCTGGCATCTCTTTAAAACTTCCCTAAAATGGGCCAAGACTCTGTCATTGTACAAGTTGCTGATATGGCTTGCAACATCCTTCTCAGGGTGATGTTTCTCCATAAATCTTTCCATCCTACCCCACATTTCAAAAATCTCCTTAATTTCTGAAGAAAGCACCTTCTTCCATCTCTCTTCCTCCTCGTTTATCCACACCAATAATAACTTCTCAACCTCTTCGAGTACTGGTGATCTCATTTTTGTCAGCATATTTACCCCCTTTGCAACAACAGCTTCCTTGATTTCCCTTTTCTTGGCCACGATGGAAGATATGGTTGTACGGGATTTGTCATACATCCTGGCCAGTTCGGCCACACGTACGCCACTTTCATATTGTTCAGTGATGTTTTTCTTAAATTCAATCGTATTTCTTACCTTCTTTACCAAAGGCTTGGCACTAGGAGCTTTCTTTGGAGCCATGGTAGCTTGTTTAGCACTTGCAAGCACTAAAATGAATGGAATATTATGAAATATTTTGTATGAACATGTGGGGGGACTGTCGCTCATTGGTAAACAATGGCACACTGGCTGGGAAGGGTGGCCAAGGCGGCTCAGAGCCGTGAGTACGCGTCCAGGACGAACGACGGTTAGCGAGTCAACTGACCATTTGCGAGCCAATGTTTGGACTAAAATAATGCAACGATTTCCGAAAAGGACGGTGTGATGCTAGACATCACTAGGAACACACGTGTGATTGTAGACCCCAGATAGAGCCAAAAACATCATACATTTTGACGGTTTCTTTTAGGCTAAAGCAGAGAGAGGACTGGCGGCACTAGTGACCGGTGGTGCTCCTGGTGCTCGGAGTCACCAGGACTCCAGTGCTACTCTAGATCACCAGGACACTATTGCTGCCAGTCCTCTCTCTGCTTTAGCCTAAAAAAAAACGTCAAAATGTATGATGTTTTTGGCTCTATCCGGGGTCTACTGAAGATAGACTCCGTCAGTATCGACAATAATATATTTCGCATGCACTACAAGGCGACTATGTTCGTCCTAGTGGCCTTCAGTTTGCTAATAACGCAGAAGCAGTACTTCGGGGACCCCATAGACTGTATCGTGGAAGGTGTGGACCCAGGCATCATGGACACCTACTGCTGGATCCACTCCACCTTCACCATCCCTTCCCTGACGGGTGCTGTGGTGGGAGAGGAGGTGCCTCATCCTGGTGTGGCTAACCCTGCCATACACGGCCCTGACGACCAGTTTCAGATAAAACACCATAAATACTACCAGTGGGTCACACTCTTCATGTACTTTCAGGCTATCCTGTTCTACATTCCTCGGTATTTGTGGAAGATCTGGGAAGGCGGTAAGGTGAAAATGCTTGTGATGCAGCTGAACTCTCCCATTTTGGACGATGATGTGAAGTGGGAGCGCAAGGCCATGTTGGTAGATTATTTCAGTGTTAATCTACACAACCACAATTTCTATGCATTTAGATTCTTCTTGTGTGAACTTCTCAACTTTATTAATGTCATTGGCCAAATCTACTTCACTGACAGATTCCTGGGTTACGAGTTCACGACATATGGTACTCGTGTCGTTGAATTCAGTGAGCAAGAACTTGGCACTCGTCATGACCCCATGGATGAGGTTTTCCCTAAAGTGGCTAAGTGTACCTTCCACAAGTATGGTGCATCAGGCACAATTGAGAGGCATGATGGTCTCTGTGTACTTCCTCTCAACATTTTCAATGAGAAGATCTACATTTTCTTGTGGTTCTGGTTTATCATTGTGGCTGTGATATCTGGAGTTGGTCTTCTGTACCGCTTGGCCACGTTCACCCCAGCCTTCAGACAGATCCTCCTCCGGACTCGCTCTCGCCTTGCATCCTCTGACAATGTGGAAGCCATCTCCCGGACAGGCCCCCACTTGTTACGGTTCAAATCTTAATCTTTAGCCAGGTTAGTGCACTCCGTAACAACACACTTCATAGAATGAAAGGATATGGTTCCAAACTTAGAAATGTAAGGCACAAATAATAGTTACTCAGTCTTTTCAAGTTTCTTTTTATTTAAAAGCTTAAATACTTTAGATATTCATAAATATCTATTAAATATCAATGTCAGAAACTTTCCTTCACACAAGAAAACTCTTAAATAGAATGTACATGATAGACCTCCTCTGGAGACTATGTCAATATGGTCACTACACTTGGTAATGATCAGAGGAATATTACCGCTTCCTCAATAGTAACATTACTTGTGTGCAAGTACATATATTGAGAATTAACACTTTCACTGAGTAACTCCCTGGCATAAGGAATATATCACAAAGTTCTAAGCTTGACACTGGTCGTCACATCGTAACCTGAAGATAACAGTATATGATTGTCAGAAGACTTCACAATAAACCACAAGCTGGATCAGGAGTTTCTATAACCCAATTCTCTATCCAAGTGAGAATAAGGCGGAGTACTAGGAGGGTAGCTCAGTCAATGCACACTGAGTCAGCAGAGAGAGTGAACTGCCATATACAGTAAATTCCTTCATGACATCAACTCGTCAAAAGGGGGAGAGGGTAGAGCGGTGCAAACTACCCACCAATGGAGATACCTTGTTATAAACCTTAGCCAGGTGTACCTACCTAACACATTGCTCAAGATATATATATATACATCATACCCGGGTATATTCCTAAATCAGATAATATTATAAACTAGTGGAATCTTTAATTTAGCTAATATTAAAGAAACCCAGAGTATAATATTAAGTGGATAATACATATAAATTAATCACATTATGACCTTGGTCATAACAGACGGCTATCGAGCCCGACTATTATCGAGAGATCACTATATAGGTCAGCAATAGAGATAATTAGGAGGAAGGGCGGGAACCCTGTTATATGTGGTATATTGCCTAGGAGAGGGGTTGGAAACGAATGGTTGTCCAGGGCAATTGGTGTCAATTGCTGGCTGGACAAATACTGTAAGGAAACTGCAGTAACATTCATTGACAACTGGGACCTCTTCTATGGCAGAAATGACATGTATGCCAGGGATGGGGTTCACTTATCTAGGTTTGGGGTGGGAGCACTGGCCAATGCAGTGGAGGGAGTTTTTAGGTCTTCAAACTAGAAATAGATAGTGGTATGGGATTTCATGGAAAATCAATGTATTCTGAGTGTTGCGATAGTGTGAGTTTTAGGGAAACCAGTCATAGGCAGAATGCGGAAGAGTCATTGATGAACATAGGAAAGCTAATGGCATTAGGTGATAAGGAGGGTAACAGGCATAGTGGAGGAACAGAAATCAGCAGGAAAAAAAAAAAAAGAGAAGGGAGGGTTTCTGAAAATACATTGTACTAATAATCGTAGTGCGAGAAATAAGATGGACGAATTGAGATTAGTTGCGAGTGCAGGTAACATTGATGTTTTTGCCATAACTGAGACGTGGTTTAATATGAAAAATAGGGACATGCCTGCTGAATGTCACATAAAAGGTTTTATATTGTTCCAAGTAGACAGAAGTATTGGGAAGTGGGGTGGGTTGGCACTCTATGTCCGTAATAGTTTAAATTGTTGCATAAAAACGGGTATAAAGTCTGAAACACATACTGAGTCTGTTTGGCTAGAATTTACTGAGGGGCATGAAAAATTGATTTTAGGCGTGATATACCGTCCACCAAACTTGGATAGAGACCGAGGAAGACTACTGTGGGAGGAAATTGTTAAGGCCACAAGGCACGATAACGTTGTAATTCTAGGGGACTTTAACTTTAGTAATATTGATTGGAATTTTCTAACTGTGAATTTAGAATCTAACAACTTTTTAGAAGTAGTTCAGGATTGTTTTTTGAAGCAGTTTGTGACAGAACCTACAAGGGAAAATAACCTGCTTGACTTAGTTCTGGCAAACAAGGAATCCCTTGTTAATAATTTAGAAATTTCAGAGGAACTTGGTGCTAGCGACCACAAATCAATTACATTTAGTATTGAATGGAAGTATGATAGTAGGGATAACTCAGTAACAGTCCCAGATTTTCGCTTAGCAGATTACGATGGGCTTAGAGAACACTTATCTGTTGACTGGGGTAACGAAGAGAGCTATCAATATGACACTTTTCTGAACACTATACATGCTGCCCAAAGAACATTTATCCCATAAAAAGAAATTAGATCAAACAGAAATATCCAAAATGGATGAATAATGGCTCAAATATCTTTTAGGGCATAAGAAAGGAATTTATAGGCATATCAAAAGAGGTGAGTCATCTTTTGAATCAGTACATTGACATTAAGAGAGACGTTAAAAAGGAGATAAGAAAAGCTAAACGGGACTATGAAATTAAAGTTGTCAGGGATTCGAAAACTAACCCAAAAAGTTTTTTCCAGGTGTAGAGAACAAAAGTTAGGGATAAGATAGGTCCCCTTAAAAATAACTCAGGGCATCTTACTGACAAAGAGAATGAAATGTGCTCGATTTTAAATAATTATTTTCTCTCGGTTTTTACACAGGAAGACACTAACAATATCCCAGCAATTAATTTTTATAGTGGGCCTGAAGAAGATAAATTATGTAACATCATAGTCACTAGTGAAATGGTTATGAAACAAATAGACCGACTGAAGCAAAATAAGTCGCCGGGACCTGATGAGCCTTTTTCAAGGGTTCTTAAGGAATGCAAAATGGAACTCTGTGAACCATTAACTAATATTTTTAATTTATCTTAAAATAGGTGTAGTGTCTGATATGTGGACGATGGCTAATGTAATTCCTATTTTTAAATCTTGATAAGGCGTTACCGTCAAATTACCGCCCAATAAGCTTCAGTTGTAGGCAAATTGCTAGAGTCAATTATAGCTGAGATTATAAGAAGCCATCTGGATAAACATAATCTGATTAATGATACTCAGCATGGATTCACGAGAGGCCGCTCTTGTCTAACCAATTTATTAACTTTGTTCAGTAAAGCTTTTGAGGCTGTTGATCACGATAAAGAATTTGATATTATTTTCTTAGATTTTAGTAAGGCTTTTGATAGAATTCCGTACCAAAGACTGTTAAAGAAAGTGGCAGCTCATGGCATTGAGGGAAAAGTGCTGTCATGGATCGAGTCATGGCTCACAGACAGAAAGCAGTGTGTGTCCATAAATGGGGTTAAATCTGAGTGGGGATCTGTAACAAGTGGCATTCCACAGGGATCAGTCTTGGGCCCATTGTTGTTTATAATATATATCAATGACCTTGATGAGGGAATTACTAGTGAAATGAGCAAATTCATCGATGACACAAAGATAGGTAGGATAATTGATTCAAACGTAGATATCCGGGAACTTCAGGAGGATTTAGACAAACGCAATACCTGGTCAGAAAAGTGGCATATGCAGTTCACTGTAGATAAATGTAAGGTTCTGAAGCTTGGGAGTGTCCACAATCCTAGGACCTATAAGCTAAATAATGTAGAACTTAGCCATACAGATTGCAAAAAGGACTTGGGGGTTAGGATAAACAGCAACCTTAAACCAAGACAGCAATGCCCAAGCGTATGTAATAAGGCAAACAGATTACTGGGATTTATATCAAGAAGTGTAAGCAACAGAAGTTCAGCAGTTATATTACAGCTTTATACATCATTAGTAAGGCCTCACCTGGATTATGCAGCTCAGTTCTGGTCTCTCATATTACAGAATGGACATAAATTCATTAGAAAACATTCAGCGTAGAATGACTAAATTAATACATAGCATTAGAAATCTTCCTTATGAAGAAAGATTGAAGACCCTTAAATTACATTCACTTGTTAGAAGAAAAATGAGGGGAGACATGATCGAAGTGTATAAGTGGAAGATGGGTATCAATAAAGGGGATATAAATAAGGTCTTGACAATATCTCCAAGTGAGAACCTGCAGTAATGGATTCAAGTTAGAAAAGTTTAGATTTAGAAAGGATATAGAAAAGTATTGGTTTGGAAATAGGGTAGTTGATGAGTGAAACATTCGGTCTAGTAGGGTTATCGAGGCTAAAACCTTGGGTAGTTTCAAGTTTAGGTTGGATAAATACATGAGTGAGAGGGGTTGGATTTGAGTGGGACTTGCACATGTGTAAATAGAATTATCAAAGCTTATTTCTCGGGTAGCATTGAAAATTGGGTTGGGCAAATATTCTGTTAGTGGGATGGATTGTGAAGGACCTGCCTAGTATGGGCCAACAGGCCTGCTGCAGTGTTCCTCCTTTCTTATGTTCTTACCTTGGCTGGTGTGCGGGGAAGTACCCTGGCTGGTGTGTGGGGAAGTACCCTGGCTGGTGTGTGGGAAAGTACCCTGGCTGGTGTGTGGGGAAGTACCCTGGCTGGTATGTGGGGAAGTACCCTGGCTGGTGTGTGGGGAAGTACTCTGGCTGGTGTGTGGGGAAGTACTCTGGCTGGTGTGTAGGAAAGTACCCTGGCTGGTGTGTGGGGAAGTACCCTGGCTGGTGTGTGGGGAAGTACCCTGGCTGGTGTGTGGAGAAGTACCCTGGCTGGTGTGGGGAAGTGCCCTGGCTGGTGTGTGGGGAAGTACCCTGGATGGTGTGTGGGGAAGTACCCTGGCTGGTGTGTGGGGGAAGTACCCTGGCTGATGTGTGGGGAAGTACCCTGGCTGGTGTGTGGGGAAGTACCCTGGCTGGTGTGTGGGGAAGTACCCTGGCTGGTGTGTGGGAAGTACCCTGGCTGGTGTGTGGGGAAGTACCTTGGCTGGTGTGTGGGGAAGTACCCTGGCTGGTGTGTGGGGAAGTACCCTGGCTGGTGTGTGGGGAAGTACCCTGGCTGGTGTGTGGGGAAGTACCTTGGCTGGTGTGTGGGGAAGTACCCTGGCTGGTGTGTGGGGAAGTACCCTGGCTGGTGTGTGGGGAAGTACCCTGGCTGGTGTGTGGGGAAGTACCCTGGCTGGTGTGTGGGGAAGTACCTTGGCTGGTGTGTGGGGAAGT